AGAATAAATAATTGCGGGTTGTGAGTTTTATGGAAACAAAATGGTGTGCCGTCGATAAGGAGTTAGGGGTGGCCGGAGATGGCACGGTGGCGGCGGTCACCGTGCGCTCGCTAGAGTTTTTCGACATTATGGGGTGGGAGAGAAAAAAGGCTACCTATCGCTAACTGATACCAAATGAAGGATAAGTCTGTTGTGTATTCTCAATCACAATAGAATAATACAGAGATATAAAGGAAATAGGAAACCTAACTATCTCTATACATTAGGCTAGTAGTTAAGTCAAAGCTAAATACAAGCATACAATATAATATCACTAACAAGGTGCACTGCATATTTTTGCCCTTTTTTCTATTTATTGTTACTAGTAATTCACCCTGCGCGATGCACGTGAAAAAATTATGTTATTATAAATATAAATAAAAAAAATTAGAAAAAACTAAAATATTTTAAATTGTTTAATATAATAATATTTTAGAGCTTCCATTGGTCAAGTATTTATTATTTTTATAGAATACAAAATTACAATTAAAATTAAAATTTTGTATGGTTAATATAATCTCTAATTATATGCATATTCAAATAAACTTATTGAGAGAATTTACATAATTACATTGATTTATTCTTAATTGTATTTCATCTATATTATAATTTTCATAATACGAATAATAACTAAGATAATTACATTTGGAAAGTAAATTTCAAATTTTGTATGAGTAAATTTAAACTCTAATTGAACACATTTTTTATATGATTATATAATATATATAGCTATTTTATTTTTCAAAAGTACATTTTTTATATGATTACATAATATATAGCTATTTTATTTTTCAAATGTTGTGCTTTTTTTTTTTTTTATATATAATAAAGGATGTTGTGGCATTAATTGTAACATTAATTACTTCCCAAACCATATAGCTTTATTATAGTTAAGATTATTATTATTATTATTATTATTATTATTATTATTATTATATTATTATTATTATTATTATTATTATTATTATTATTATTATTATTATTAGTTTCTTTTCAAGTTTTGTTAGTATATAATGGCCGTGAGTCACTCAATAATAATATAACAATAATTAAATATTCTTGTATTGTATTCCGTGAGTCACAATAATAATATAACAATAATTAAATATTCTTCAATTCTAATATTCTTCTAGGATTTCTTTTATCATCATTAATTATTCCCTAATTTACCATAATTAAATAATTTGACCAATTATAAAGAGAGATTATCAAATAATGCACGGGATAATTTTTTAATTAAAAAATTTAAAAATTAATTAATAAAACATAAGGTTCTCATAGTTTTTTCTTAGAAACTATTTAATAAAGCATTTTTTTTTTTTAGAAATTGGTGGGCCAAACCGCCTACGACAGTGTGAGGTGGATAGATCTCAAAAAAATAGAAATCAATATATTTTATTGGGAAGAGAGGTTTTTTAGGAATTGGGCGGGAAGTTAAAATTCCACGATTTTGTTATTATATATAGTATAGAAGTATAGATGTACAAAGGGAATTGTATTACACTATTTTAAAATTTTAGAATAGAATTGTTACCCAAAATTATTGTACGAATGGGAAAGTAGAAATCAATATATTTTATTGGGAAGAGAGATTTTTTAGGAATTGGGCGGAAAGTTAAAATTTCAGGATTTTGTTATTATATATAGTATAGATAATATAGATGTACAAAGAGAATTGTATTACACAATTTTAAAATTTTAGAATAGAATTGTTACCCAAAATTATTGTACGAATGGGAAAGTAGAAATCAATATATTTTATTGAGAAGAGAGATTTTTTAGGAATTGGGCGGAAAGTTAAAATTTCAGGATTTTGTTATTATATATAGTATAGATAGTATAGATGTACAAAGAGAATTGTATTACACTATTTTAAAATTTTAGAATAGAATTGTTACCCAAAATTATTGTACGAATGGGAAAGTAGAAATCAATATATTTTATTGGGAAGAGAGATTTTTTAGGAATTGGGCGGAAAGTTAAAATTTCAGGATTTTGTTATTATATATAGTATAGATAGTATAGATGTACAAAGAGAATTGTATTACACTATTTTAAAATTTTAGAATAGAATTGTTACCCAGAATTATTGTACGAATGAGAAAGTAGAAATCAATATATTTTATTGGGAAGAGGGATTTTTTAGGAATTGGGTGGAAAGTTAAAATTCTAGGATTTTGTTATTATATATAGTATAGAATAGATGTACAAAGGAGATTATATTACACTATTTTAAAATTTTAGAATAGAACTTTAACCCAGAATTATTGTACGAATGATAAAGTAGAAATCAATATATTTGATTGGGAAGAGAGATTTTTTAGGAATTGGGCGGAAAGTTAAAATTCCAGGATTTTGGTATTATATATAGTATATATAGATGTACAAAGGGAATTGTGTTACACTATTTTAAAATTTTAGAATAGAATTATTGTACGAATGGGAAAGTAGAAATCAATACATTTTATTGGGAAGAGAGATTTTTTAGGAATTGGGCGGGAAGTTAAACTTCCAGGATTTTGTCATTTTGTTATTATATTCAAGTGGCATCAGCTTAGGACTTTATCAATGAACTCTCCAGTGTAATATCCCCACTTTTCCATAGCAATATTTGTCCACCCTTCCAATCCCAAATAACATATTTCAACCAATTAAAGTGTACAAGGGAAATCTGCTGACTTTAACCCATTCAAGAAAATGCGGGAATCCAATCTTCCCCAGTACATTAAACCAATCAGGCCCATAGGGAATCTGTGTTATCATATGGTTTGTGGCTTTGATGTTGTACTTCCGAAGCCTCTTTTTAGCTGTATATCTAGTTGGGTTGTAAATCACTCTGGATGCTTTCAACTGAGGATATCTTTCCAAAACCTACACATATTGTGTTCTTCACAACAGTAATTAAATCCCACATAGGCTAATTTTATAATTGTGACACATGATGCATTTTTCTTGTAAAGTACAATATTATAGGTTTAATAGCCATATTTCTTTAAAATTTTTAAAAATTTAGCGACAGACAAAAATTTTAGCAAATCTCACTACACCAAAAAACGTCATTTAATTTACGGTGATTATTTTGTTGTTTAGCGGCGGTTTATAACCGCCACGGTACGGTTACCAACGGTTATCCATATGTTACTAAATAGTGTGTCGTGAATATTTAGCGGTTGTTTTCATCAATTGTGGGAATTATTGACTAGAGTTGATTAGCAGCGATTTCATAACCGTTGCTAAAATTAGGGCAATTCACTTTGGCATTTTGTAGCAATTTGGTAACCGTCGCTAAATATATCTAATTTATTTATTCATTTAAATAATAGCGGTGGCCGGTTATATAACCGCCGCTAAATTTGGACTATTTCATCACTTTGGCATTTAGCGACGGTTTGAAAACCGTAGTTAAATATATCTAAATTTATTTATTTATTTATTGCTTAAAAATATTAGTAGCAGCTATTAAGTGTGCTAACAATTTTTTTTTTTTTCATAATTAATTGTGTTTTTTTTTTTACCGTTTTAAAACCACCACTAAATATATATTTATTTTATAATTACATAGTTATATTTTTATAATTACCATTTAGTTATATTTTCTCATAAATCTCTATATTCAAATATGTATATATTGCAGTCACAAATAAGCTTTATATACACATTTAATTTGAAAGAAAATTAATTGTAAACTACTATTTGTCAAATAATAACATTCAATAATATTTGGAGCATAGTATGCTATATATCAATTAAATTTCATACAAAAAAAAAAAAAACTTTTATATGAAAATATAAAATAACATAATTTATTCAATCGAATATATCACGTAGAAGATTGTCCATCAAAATAATGAATTAATGACTAGAGGAGGAATGTTGCTTTCCACCCCTTGTGAAGATTGAAGCTCACAGCGTACCTCACATTTGATCAATCTTGCAATCAATTAACTTTGTTGTGATTACCGTATTGTAATCAATCTGCAGTCATATAAGCACCATTGCACCAACCTGATGAGTAATGAAATTGAAGAATTAATTAAATAATTGTTTCGCTGTTTGCATGTCCCAGAAAAAAAAAAAAAAAAAAAAAAAAAAAAAAAAAAAAAAAAAAAACTAATTAAAACATTACATAAAAGATTTTACTCACAGAACATTCTTGATGACAGAATAAGAAATTCGACCAGATTCATTGGAGCCTATATCCACCAATAACATCAACCTCATCTTTGCAATGCAATCTTCATAGGCAAGTCCTTTATTATAAGAAAATGCAAAGTCAGTAAAAATGAACTGCATGCACCTAGCACATATGAATTGATGTATCTAGAAGGCAAAGGCTCAAATAATGGAACATATAGTTATTCAATAAAGTGGAATTTGCTGCTTGGAAATCCAAATATGCATCCAACCTCTGAGTCAAAAAGATCTTAAGAAGTTGATACACCAGAGCAAATTTAGCATCCTTCGCCAATTGTGCAATAGCAGGCGAGCAAATCACATTGCCATGTAAAACAACACACAATCATGACAGAACGGAATAAATATAATGATACACTTCTGGCACTTTAACGAATTCAATAATAGTATTGACAGAAGCATCCTTAGCTTCATTCATAGCGTGTGCATCATTACCAGAAAATATTGCCAGATCGGGAAATGACCCTCGTCTTGCGGTGACTCGTATCCGACCAGATCCTTGGTACAAAAGGGTATGTAGCCCGGGATGTATTCCCTATTAATTTATATTATCCATAATGCCTTTCAAAAAAATATTATCCATAATGAATCATTTTGAATAAAAAAAAAAAAAAAAAGAAGACGTGTTGTCAGTTGTCGCACACAACGGACACAAAGTCAGAGGCGTGTAAATTGATGATAGATACAGTCTGGCCACGTGACAAATTAACGAGGGTTGACTTAGGTGGTGCATTATATGATACCGTAAAAGTCTCTCAACAGTACTCCGTCTGAAGCAAATAGAGAGAGAGAGAGAGAAATGGCTTGTGTTCCTCTAACTTCTCTGATGAATACAATCCACTTTGAGTTCTTACAACCCTGCAGAGCACCTGTGATTCTTGATGAAGATACAGAACATATGGTTAGTTCTCTCCACCATAATCTTGGTTTCTTGCTCACCTTTCTCAAGGACTTAGTGAAGAAACCAGGGATAGATGAAGCTGCAGCAATCAAAGACTTGGAAGCCAAAATCAGAGACTTTGCCTTCTTAGCAGAAGATGAAGTTGAATCAAATCTGGCAAAGATATATATGGAGGCGGCAGATAAAAAGATGACACTCTTTCAGAACTTACGACAAGTAGCTGAAAAAACTCAAAGCTTCGTCAACGGAATTAAAAGAGAATACAATGATTCTGCTGTCCAAGATTTGACAAAGGTATCACCACAGTCTTTGCTTACTGTATTAGCAGTAACATTTATGATACAATTCATAATTTACAACTCTTCCTCTACAGGTACATACCCTTCCGTTAGATGTTGGTTCAGACCACAAGAGCAGATCTTCACAGCGGTTCTCAAAGATTGAGGACAGAATGGTTGGGCGTACAAGTGAATTAAATACAATAATGGATCAGCTCATTCGTCAACCATCTAAACAAGGGAAAGTCATTTCCATTCTCGGGATGGGCGGGATCGGTAAAACTACTTTAGCCAAAAGAGTTTACGAAGATCCATCAGTGGTATCCCGCTTTGACCTTCGTGCATGGACTACTGTCTCTCAACAACAAGTTAACTTGAGACAAATTCTGTGCAGCCTTCTTTGGTCCATTGAGAGAGGAATGAATACCGAGGGAAGCACAGATGAACTAGCACACAAACTACAACGGCGTTTGATGGCTATGAGGTGTTAGAAATAATTATTTCCTAACAATGATTTATATAATAAAGGTTGTAATTCCATAAGGTACTCACTTTGATGATTAGTGATGTGTAAAGGCGGAATTACTGGGTGAAATTCCCTCCCTCTCATTCTGTTAAAATTTAAGTTTATAAGGGTTAAAAGATGTATAATGGATAAGGTTATGAGTTTCACAATCCTAAAGGGATTTCTATTCCTAAAAGGAGGTCACATTCCTAAAGGGATTTCTATTCCTAAAGGAGGTTCCCCATTCCTCTTGAAAGAGGGTTTTCTCATCACATCTATAAATACCCAGGAAAACTCTAGGGATCAAAAAACAGTTTCAAATCTCTAAGTTTTCTAGTCTCCGTATCATCAGGAGGTGATTAAGGTATACGGATCAGAGAGGTGAAGCATTATATTCTTGATTCATTCAATTTAGAGATTACATCTTCCATGGAACCAAGTAAGTCCTATCTTTCCTATTTAATTAAAAGCCCATGATCATGAACATTGTTTAGTTGATTGATTTGATTTACATGCGATCATTGTTAATTGTGCTTCCGCATTTAAGTTATAGCGCATAAAGGATTATTTTAACATTTGGTATCAGAGCCTGCTTGTAAATTGATTAATCACTAAAATTAGGGTTCATGATATTTGGAGATTTTTAATTATAAGGTTTATTAATTGTGGTTTTGTTGTTTATAGCGTCATATGTACGTTCTGCATCGTTGATGATTGATTGTTATTGATGTTAACAACAATTGATTTCTTGGAATTAAATATCTTGTGCGAATATTTGATGGATTCACGCACTGTTCATATGCATATTTAATTAAAAGAAAAACTGATTTGCATGTTCTGGAATCTAATGTGCAATGTACTGTTCTCTGGGAAGTAACTCATATACGTATATGTATGTGAATGTTGTTTTGAAATTGAATCAAATAGGATCAACATAAGGGATAAGGTAGTTTCGGACTTTACCTTATTATTACGGTTCGAATTTTTATTAACTGTGATACATGGAAGGGAGCGGGACGCTATGTCAGGCCTGTAACCGCCATGATTCGGTTAATAAAGTTCGATAAGGTGGTGAATTTTACATTTTCATATTAAGTGAGCTCAAATTAAGGATTGAAAATTGTAAAGTCACGCATATATGAATCAAGTGGGAGATTGTTAGAAATAATTTATTCCTAACGTTGATTCATATAATTAAGGTGTCATGCTCATATGAATCAGTGGGAGACTGTTAGAAATAATTATTTCCTAACAATGATTTATATAATAAAGGTTGTAATTCCATAAGGTACTCACGTTGATGATTAGTGATGTGTAAAGGCGGAATTACTGGGTGAAATTCCCTCCCTCTCATTCTGTTAAAATTTAAGTTTATAAGGGTTAAAAAATGTATAATGGATAAGGTTATGGGTTTCACAATCCTAAAGGGATTTCTATTCCTAAAAGGAGGTCACATTCCTAAAGGGATTTCTATTCCTAAAGGAGGTTCCCCATTCCTCTTGAAAGAGGGTTTTCTCATCACATCTATAAATACCCAGGAAAACTCTAGGGATCAAAAAACAGTTTCAAATCTCTAAGTTTTCTAGTCTCCGTATCATCAGGAGGTGATTAAGGTATACGGATCAGAGAGGTGAAGCATTATATTCTTGATTCATTCAATTTAGAGATTACATCTTCCATGAAACCAAGTAAGTCCTATCTTTCCTATTTAATTAAAAGCCCATGATCATGAACATTGTTTAGTTGATTGATTTGATTTACATGCGATCATTGTTAATTGTGCTTCCGCATTTAAGTTATAGCGCATAAAGGATTATTTTAACATGAGGTATCTGATTGTGGTGGATGATGTATGGGAAACCAGTGTTTTGGATCATCTCACTAGATGTTTTCCTAAAAGTGATGGAAGTGCAGTATTGGTGACCTCTCGGCTAAAAGAGATTGCTGACTACACTACATCAGGTGCCAGTAATCTTATTCACAACTTGCATTTTCTCGATTCTAATGAAAGTTGGGATCTATTTTGCAATCACACTTTCTTGAAACAGCCCTTGGACTCTAAGTTCAACACAATTGGAAGGAATATTGTTGGCAAGTGTGGGGGGCTTCCCCTGGCAATTGCTGTAGCTGCTGGACTTCTATCTCGACTCAGCAAAGTTGAAGAATTGGAAAATATTGAGGAAGAAATGAGCTATCTTGCTTGTACAGATATTGGTGAACAATGTTCAAGAATTCTTATTGTAAGTTACAATCATTTACCTCAGCATTTGAAAGCTTGCTTTTTATATTTAGGAGTTTTTTCAGGCCATAGTGAAATTCCTGTTAAAAAGCTTGTTAGGTTATGGATTGCCGAGGGGTTTGTGAAGAAGTCGGTGAGGGATAAGGAATTGGAAGAAGTGGGTGTTGGGTATTTACAAGATCTTATTAGTAGAAGCCTAGTCCAAATTGAAAAACTTAAATGTGATAGCCAAATCAAGACGTGCAGCATGCATCATCTCCTGCACGTACTTTGTGTGAGACAAGCAAGAAACGAAAAACTTTTGCATGTTGAAGACGATGGTTTTGATATGTCTAGCAGTAACTCCAAAAAATCCTGTTGTGGTGCTTATCGTTGGCTAAGTTTCAGATCATCAAAGCCTGAGAATTTTCATTTGTGCAACAGTAGTTTCAATAGAGCCCGTTCTGTTTTGTGTTTGCATAATGATGAGATGCCAATGGTGGATGATCCAAAGCTTGTAAGCTTCAGCTTATTAAGAGTTCTGGATTTGACTTCTCCTTTATACAACAAGGGAGTTCATTTGTCTTTCAAAAATCTTTCCAATAATCTAGTTCTTCTTGAATACCTAGCTTTTATGTCTAATAGGTCTTTGGGCTTCGAGGGTCTTGACATTGCACTGTCTAAGAATCAAAAACTGCACACGCTTGTTGTTTGGCATAGTGCAGTTGGCTGGAGACCGAATTATTCCCTTTTGCCCTCCGCAATTTGGCGGTCACCACAAGTAAGGCATCTGGAGTTTAGAAATTGCTTTAGAGTAGAGCCTCCAAGCATAGTGAAAGAGAACTTGCAAAGTTTGTATTGGTTGAGCATATTTCATTGCACAGAGGAAGTTATTTCGAAGATTCCCAACATAAAAACACTGGGGATTTTTTGTGAAGGTAGATTGATTCCAGACAATGGTGTGTCGTGGAATGGTGCTACCAGCTTAGAAAATCTATGTCATTTGAATCGACTTGAGGCTTTAACTATTGAAGCTGAGTATGCCATTCCTAAGTGTATATCTCTTCCGGGTATAAATGCATTTCCCTGTAACCTTAGGAAGCTAAAATTAAGCAAGACTTATTTGCCTTGGAAGGATAATATAGCAACAATTGCCTTGTTGCCTAGATTAGAGGTTCTCAAACTAAAAATGGATGCTTTCTATGGGCCAGAGTGGGAACCAACTGAAGGGGGATTCCAAAGATTAAAGTTTTTGTTGCTTGAAAATACAGATCTAAAGATATGGGATGCCTTTGACGATGAGTTTCCTATCCTTGAGCACTTGGTCTTGAAGCATTGTGAGAACTTGGAAGGGATTCCAACTGTTATCTCCAATGGAACCACTCTCAAATCAATTGATTTAGAATGGTGTGGCCAAGCCCTTTCGAGTTGTGCCAACAATATCCAACAAGAGCAGCTCGATTATGGGAATAATGAACTAAAAGTTCTTGACCGTAATCCTCAGGTCTGCACTTTCTTCTACACTTGCCTAAACTTTTAATTATAATATTATGTTATGATTAAGCATTAATTTGTTAGATCAATCTAATCTCACACAGTTTCTTTTTTCTTTTTGTTTTCTCAATTGATTGAATGCAGACCACTCATAGGCAACTCACATTTTATGAAGGTCGGCATATTACAGTAACAGATTGCAGGTAATTTAATTAAATTCATAACTATACATTCATAATTGCATAATTACACATTCATATATAACTTCATAATTATACATTCATAATTGCATAACTACACATTCATATATAACTTCATAAGTATACATTCAGAATTGCATAACTACACATTCATATATAACTTCATAACTATACATTCAGAATGTGAAATTATAACTTCATAACTATACATTCAGAATTGCATAACTATACATCCATAACTTCATAACTATACATTCAGAATGTGAAATTATAACTACATACCTATACATTCAGAATTGCATGCATAATTGCACATCCATAACTTCATAACTGTACATTTAGAATTGCATAACTACACATCCTTAACTTCATAACTATAAATTCAGAATGTGAAATTATAAAATTATGAACATATGTTTACGTAACTAACGGCCATCGAAAATGATTTTTTTTTTTAAAGTAATACGACGTCGTCATGGTGCACACAGTTGCTCAGCCAAATTTACCATTTCCAAAGGTCCACTCGCCGTCTTCTTCGCTGAGCTACAGGTTCAACACAAAGCCCATACTATCTACTGATTTTACCTAGCAAATGTTCATGAATGTTGAATTTGTTTTTTAAATTGGTAATTCAAACTTCAAAGTATATGAATGTAAAATAATACAGAAGAGATTGATTATAATTGTCATTAAAATAAAGAGTTAATACCCAATATAGTCATCGACTATAGTGTTTTTATTCAATTTAGTTTTAAATGATTTTTAATGCTTAATTTAGTCCTCAATTTTGATGATTTACATAACTTACTCCTTTGTTAAAAATTTTGTTAGTTGACTGTTAGAAATAACGTTGTAATAGTAATTTATCATTCTTATTTCATTTGAGATAGATTCCTTCTTCTTCCTCTTATTAAGCTTCACGCAGAAATGGAGATCTTCATCCCAAATCAACTCCAACCCTAAATAAATAAAATAAATAAATAAATAAATGTTTGCCTACATTTTTTTAAAAATTTAGGTTGAAGTTGATTCGGGTACAAAGATTTGCATTTCTGCGTGGATCTTAATAAGAGGGAAAAGAATGGATCATCCAAAATTAGATGAAGGATGAGAAATTATCATTAAGGGTGTGTTTGGAAACCTGGAAAATGAGTTCTGGAAATCATTTTCCAAGTTTTCGCTGTTTGGATGTGTCTGGAAAATCAAGTCAACGGAAATCATTTTCCGTTGACTTTGGAAAATAGGCTTGTTTTGGAGGAAAATGACTTCCCCTTTTTTTGGGGAAGTTATTTTCCAACTTTTACACCAACATCACACCACCACCAACATCATCAACACCATACCACCACCACCTCACTACCACCATCACCACCACTACTGCCGCCGCCACCGCCACCACACCACCACCACTACCACCACCAACATCATACCACCGCAACCACTACCACCACCAACACCATCAACACCATACCACCACCACCACCGCCACCACACCACCACCATCACACCACCACCACTACCACCGCCGCCGCCACCACCACCACCATACCACTGCAACCACCGTCGCCGCCACCACCATACCACCGCAACCACCGTCGCCTCCACCACCACCACCATACCGCCGCCGCCACCACCACGACCATACCACCGCAACCACCACCACCATATCACCGCCACCACACCACCACCACCACCACTGCCACCACCAGTTATTATTATTATTATTATTATTATTATTATTATTGTTATTATTATTATTATTATTATTATTATTATTATTATTATTATTATTATTATTATATAACAAATAACACCACCACCACCATAATATTTTTGATATATTATTAGTTATTTTTTTATTATATTTAAAATTATTATTATATTATTATATATTATTATACATGTTGTAATATTCTAAATAAAATAATTAAAATTGTTAATTATACAATTCTACTAATTTTCCAGAAAATGAACCAAACACACAAAAACAGTTTTCCAGAATGCAACCAAACACTGGAAAGGAAAATGTTTTTCGGAAAATGACTCATTTTCCAGAAAACATTTTCCAGAAGTCATTTTCCTACTTTCCAAACGGACCCTAAGATCATATTTCTAACAGTCAACTAACATAATTTTAACAAAGGACTAAATTGTGTAAAACAATCAAAGTCGAAGACTAAATTGAGTACCAAAAGTCATTAGGATGAAATTGAGTAAAACCACTATTGTCAATGACTATATTGGGTATTAAAAACAATAGTCTAAATTTTGACCAAAAAAAAAAACAATAATCTAAATAAATACTATTTTTTGTTTAAATTTTTCTAAAGCTTTATAATTCTTTTTTAGCTTCGAGAATCCCGACGAGCTTGTGGAGCTCCCGCAAGTCGGGTGAGGTTTCAACCAATGAATTGATGGATGAGCACCACTGGCACCTTCCGAGGAATCCCCTTGCATGGTGAGGATGGTGGAAACATTTTTTCAGGGTGTATGAAGCAAGTTTCAACCAATGCATTGATGGATGAATACCACTGGCCGCTTCAGGATCAATGCAGGCTTCAACCAATAAAAACCTGCATTGACAACTCTTCTGCTGCTTTCGCAATCTTGGATGGAGTTCCGTTCCCCACGAGCTTCAATTAAGATGACAAACATGAACAAGAAATTTCGTCCAGTGAGAAGATTTGACCTCTTGACTTCTACTACAACACATACATGGTACATATTTAACCATCTAAGTTATTTCATCTTCGAGTAATTTATATCTATATTATTTATTTACTAGTATTTGTCCCGTGCGATGCACAGACAAAAATTTGTAAGTATTGTTGTAATGTTATGATACAAAGCAGAATTAGTTTTATTAAAAATATAAAATATAGTTATACAATGTAATATTTAAATGTTAAAGACAATAAATGCATTCATATTGCTAATATCATTTGCAATAATGATCTTACAAAGTTAAACGGACAGAGAAAGACATGGACCACCTCGTGGTTTACACAGAAAAAAAAAAAAAGATCTTACAAATCTATTAATATGCATTCACACTAAGACGAGAAATTTTTTCCCTACTTAATTTTACTTTACCTAACTTTCTTTGTAAATTATTAAAAAACTAATCAAAATTACAAACTATTAAAAAGTTAGTACGTGTATATATATATATATATATATATATATATATATATATATATACTAACTTAATAAAAAATAAAAGTTTTAACATAACAAATGTTGGGCCAATATATAATTACATTTTTTAAAAAAAATTTCTAGGTCAACCTATCCCATTGTTGCATCCCATTTTCCCAAAGCACAGTCACAATTTTGGAGGGAAAGCTAGTTTTGGAGCGAAAGTTAAGATTCTGCTTTATTATATATAAAGAAAAGATAAAGATATATATATATATATATATATATATATATATATATATATATATATATATATATATATATATAGGCGCGCGATCTCGTACAAACGACCGCCCAGCAGAGAACAGCGAATCAACCAGTGCACGCCACGTGTCCTGTGGTGCATGTAAATGTGTTATATGTACAAGTAGTTGATGCACCTATGCAAGTAAAAAGTGCAGGTAAAATCACTTACAAGTGCAGCTACTTTCACCTACAAGTGCATGTAATTTTACCTTGTTAACATTCATTGATCGTGTGCACCTACTTTCACCTGCAAGTTCACTCACTTTCACCTAGTTATAACTATAGGTGCGCCTAAATCTGGACACATGGCGCGCGTTGGTTGGTTCGCAGTTCTCTCCTCGGCGCGCGATTCGCACCTGAACGCACGCATATATATATATATATATATATATATATATATATATATATATATTGATGGGGTGTGGACCCCAGCCCAAGAAAAACAAGGCCCAAGAGGTAGAGTCCATGGATTGCAGAAGGAGCCTAGAGTGTGTAAAGACACGACCCAGCAGACAACAAGTTTATAGGGCCCAATAGGGGCCAGGGTCGAGTCCAGGAGTCGGCCTAGGCCTAGGTGGCGACTCGGCAGAGATTCGTTGCCTGACATTTATAGCCGCAGTTAAGAGGCTCAACCAAGCAAGCCGTTGAGAGTCGGAGAGAGCCGTTGGCTGGCCTGGTAACGCCACCCAACGGCCCCAAAATATAATTAGTCTTAAAGTAGTCTCTTAAATGAGCCTTAACTCGGTAGAAGAGGGCCTACTATATAAAAGGCCCTCCGTGAATGTAAAAGGGGGGGGGGGGGGGGGGTCCATGCCTAGATAATAGAAAGACGCCATTCTTGCTACTGCATTTTTCTTAAAGTTTTATTGAAAGGTGAATCCACCAACTAAGGTTGTGTTGGACCTCCCTGGGCCCAAAAATCCTAAAACCAACACTGGCGCCGTTTGTGGGGATCGAAACAAAGAGCCACGTCCGTTCTTGAGCAAACGAGTTCATGAAAAGGACAAGGATAATGTAAGTAAGACAAAGGATTTGCAACATGTCGGAAGGACGAAGCCAGGCCATCAACGGTAACAATGCACCAGAAGTCGACTTGAGAGAGCAGCTGAATTAGCGAAACGCCCAAAGTCAAGAAAATG